GTGGGAGAAACCTCTATCAAAACAAAACCCCAAAATCTGAGTCTGTTGATCCAACTGCGCTCTCCTTCTCCGGTAACGGTGACCAACCTCTGCAATCTTCGTCGCAAGGTAAGTGACCTTCTATACTTTCTCCCCTTTTGCATTCCAAGTTTCATCTCTTCTTTTCTACTTTTCCCTTTCGGGGGATTTGACTTCTAGATCTGCGCCGTTCTGTGAGCGATAATGTTAATGTTCATGAGGTCTGAGTATTTGAAAAAATGTTACTTTAAATTTCGATGGTTATGATTAGGGTTTGTGTTAGGTCGAACTATTTTGATCTAGTTTTCGGTTTCACGTAAAAACGCTTGTGGGTTCTCGTGAAGCTTAATTCTGTAAATTAAAGATTTTAACTTTGAGTACTTGGCTGTATCCATTAGCTAGCTTCTCTATTAATCTGTAAATCCAAATTTGTTTAATGGGTTAGGGAAGAAGAGTTTTGAGAGATGGCATCCAAGTTGCTAACACTGCAATCCAAGGCCTGTGAAGCATCAAAGTTTTTGTCCAAGCACGGCTCAACTTACTACAAACAGTTGCTCGAGAAGAACAAGAAGTATATACAGGAGCCAGCTACTGTTGAGAAATGCAATGAGTTGTCTAAGCAGCTTCTCTACACTCGTCTTGCTAGGTTTTTTTTCTTTCCCTTTTGTGCTCTTATCTGATGATCCTGGATTCGTTTCATGTGTTTGGTAGACTTTGTTGCATTATTGTGCTTAAACACTGCTGTTTTGTTTCTGTTGTTAAAAATCGTGGCTTCGATTTCTGTTGCTCTTCCACAGTTGGTTTTGTGCAGAATTTTAATGATGCAGATAATCTTGGCTCGTTATCTATTAGGTTCAGAATGGTTTGCTGAGTAATCAAAGTATATAATTGGACTAAAAATTCTAGGTTTGATGGTTCTGAACTATGAACTAATCACATGCTTAATTATGGTCTCTGCATTACCAACATTTCCTTGCTCATAGAGAGGTTTTGGTTACAATTTTTCTAGATATTCAGAAACTGTGCTTCTCCTTTGTTACTGTGACTGACTTCTTAAAGTGGATGGCAGCATTCCTCGGCGTTCTGAGTCGTTCTGGAAGGAAGTGGATCACGTGAAGGGCTTGTGGAAGAATCGGGCGGATTTGAAGGTTGAAGATGCTGGAATTGCAGCACTTTTTGGTTTGGAATGCTTTGCTTGGTACTGTGCAGGTGAGATTGTAGGACGAGGCTTCACTTTCACCGGCTACTACCCTTGAAGAAACAAAGCAACCATTGAACTCTGAAAAAACATAAACTGATGGATTATTATCGATCTCACGGTTGGCATTAGTAGCAAAAAGGTTCACTTGTTTTCTCTGGATAATAATTAATACACAAGTTTTGAAGCTGAGGCATTGTCACTCATGGTAGATTTAATAATATCTGGCTTTTGGGTTTGTTTTCAGTTTCATTGATGTGAATGTGAATGATTGTTTGCAAGAGAACCATAAAACTATCATCATCGACATTTCAAATGGCGTTTACTAAGATGTCTCATTAGAAAAACGTTATGCACGCCTTTCCATGTAGATGCTTCCTTTTAGTATCACTCACATAAATAAGCCAAAAGGAAGAGAATCTCACTTGTATAATACGACTCGGTTCGGTTTTAAAGTAACGCTTGCTTTCTTTGTCGTTTGTATAAAAAGGAAGAAAATTTCATTATTACTGTAACACGAGTAATACGACTCAGTTCGTTTTCAACGCTTTCTATGTCGTTTCTATAAAAGCAAAGCCGAATCCGTGTGTAGAAGCATCACTCAAAACAGAGACCTTAGCATTCAGGTACTACA